CAAAATGACAGCATCAAATTCACACATAACAATACTATCCCTAAATGTCAATGGACTAAATGCCCCAATCAAAAGACACAGACTGGCAAATTGGATAAAAAGCCAAAACCCATCAGTGTGCTGTATCCAGGAAACCCATCTTACATGCAAGGATACACAAAGGCTCAAAATAAAGGGATGGAGGAAGATCTACCAAGCAAATGGAGAGCAAAAAAAGGCAGGAGTTGCAATTCTCATCTCTGATAAAATAGACTTTAAAGCAACAAAGATCAAAAGAGACAAAGAAGGACATTACATAATGGTAAAAGGATCACTGCAACAAGAAGAGCTAACGATCCTAAATATATATGCACCCAATACAGGAGCACCCAGATACATAAGGCAAGTTCTTAATGACTTACAAAGAGACTTAGACTCCCACACAATAATAGCGGGAGACTTTAACACCCCATTGTCAATATTAGACAGATCAACCAGACAGAAAATCAACAAGGATATCCAGGACCTGAACAAAGACCTGGAACGAGCAAACCTAATAGACATTTACAGAACTCTCCACCCCAAATCCACAGAATATACATTCTTCTCAGCACCACATCACACCTACTCTAAAATTGACCACATAATTGGCAATAAATCACTCCTCAGCAAATGCAAAAGAACAGAAATCATAACAAACAGTCTCTCAGACCACAGTGCAATCGAGTTAGAACTCAGAATGCAGAAACTAACTCAGAACCGCACAGCTTCATGGAAACTGAACAACTTGCTCTTGAATGTTGACTGGATAAACAATGAAATGAAGGCACAAATAAAGATGTTCTTAGAAACCAATGAGAACGAAGACACAATATACCAGAATCTCTGGGACACATTTAAAGCAGTCTCTAGAGGAAAATATATAGCAATGAGTGCCCACATGAGAAGAAAGGAGAGATCTAAAACTGACACCCTATCATCAAAATTGAAAGAGCTAGAGGAGCAAGATCAAAAAAACTCAAAACCTAGCAGAAGACAGGAAATAACTAAGATCAGAGCAGAACTGAAGGAAATAGAGACACAAAAAACTCTTCAAAAAATCAATAAATCCAGGAGCTAGTTTTTTGAAAAGATCAACAAAATAGACAGACCACTAGCCAGATTAATGAAAAAGAAAAGAGAGAATAACCAAATTGATGCAATAAAAAACGATAAAGGGGATATCACCACAGATTCCACAGAAATCCAAACCATCATCAGAGATTATTACAAACAACTCTATGCACATAAACTAGTAAACCTGGAAGAAATGGATAAATTCCTGGACACCTGCAACCTCCCAAGCCTAAACCTGGAAGAAGCCGAAACCCTGAATAGACCAATAACATGGTCTGAAGTCGAGGCAGCAATAAAGAGCCTACCACCCAAAAAAAGCCCAGGTCCAGATGGGTTCACAGCTGAATTCTACCAGACATACAAGGAGGAGCTGATACCATTCCTTCTGAAACTATTCCAGACAATCCAAAAAGAGGGAATCCTTCCCAAATCATTTTACGAGACAAACATCATCCTGATACCAAAACCCGGCAGAGACTCAACAAGAAAAGAAAATTTCAGGCCAATATCCATGATGAACATAGATGCAAAAATCTTCAATAAAATACTGGCAAACCGATTGCAACAGCATATCAAAAAGCTCATCCACCATGATCAAGTAGGATTCATCCCGGGGATGCAAGGCTGGTTCAACATACGCAAGTCCATAAACGTAATTCACCACATAAACAGAACCAAAGACAAAAACCACATGATTATCTCGATTGATGCAGAGAAGGCTTTTGACAAAATTCAACAACCCTTTATGCTAAAAACCCTCAATAAACTAGGTATTGACGGAACGTATCTCAAAACAATAAAAGCTATTTACGACAAACCAACAGCCAATATCATACTGAATGGGCAAAAACTGGAAGCATTCCCTTTGAAATCTGGCACTAGACAAGGATGCCCTCTCTCACCACTCCTATTCAATATAGTACTGGAAGTTCTAGCCAGAGCAATCAGGCAAGAAAAATTAATAAAGGGTATCCAAATTGGAAAGGAGGAAATCAAATTGTCTCTATTTGCAGATGACATGATTGTATATCTGGAAGACCCCATCATCTCAGCCCAAAATCTCCTGAAACTGATAAACAACTTCAGCAAAGTCTCAGGATACAAAATCAACGTGCAAAAATCACAAGCATTCCTATACACCAGTAATAGACTTCAAGAGAGCCAAATCAAGAACGAACTGCCATTCACAATTGCTACAAAGAGAATAAAGTACCTAGGAATACAACTAACAAGGAACGTAAAGGACCTCTTCAAGGAGAACTACAAGCCATTGCTCAACGAAATAAGAGAGGATACAAACAGATGGAGAAACATTCCATGTTCATGGTTAGGAAGAATCAACATTGTGAAAATGGCCATACTGCCCAAAGTAATTTACAGATTCAATGCTATTCCCATCAAGCTACCAATGACCTTCTTCACAGAACTGGAAAAAAACACCTTAAACTTCATATGGAACCAAAAGAGAGCCTGCATAGCCAAGTCAATTCTAAGCAAAAAGAACAAAGCGGGAGGCATCACACTACCGGACTTCAAACTATACTACAAGGCTACAGTAATCAAAACAGCATGGTACTGGTACCAAAACAGAGATATAGACCAATGGAACAGAACAGAGGCCTCACAGGAAATACAACATACCCACAACCATCTGATCTTCGACAAACCTGACAAAAACAAGCAATGGGGAAAGGACTCCCTGTTTAATAAATGGTGTTGGGAAAACTGGCTAGCCATGTGCAGAAAGCAGAAACAGGACCCCTTCCTGACACCTTACACCAAAATTAACTCCAGATGGATTAAAGACTTAAACATCAGACCTAATACCATAAAAACCTTAGAAGAAAATCTAGGCAAAACCATTCAGGACATAGGTGTAGGCAAGGACTTCATGACCAAAACGCCAAAAGCAATGGCAACAAAAGACAAAATAGACAAATGGGACCTGATCAAACTCCACAGCTTCTGCACGGCAAAAGAAACAGTCAGTAGAGTGAATCGGCAACCAACAGAATGGGAAAAAATTTTTGCAGTCTACCCATCTGACAAGGGGCTGATATCCAGAATTTACAAAGAACTAAAGCAGATCTACAAGAAAAAAACAAACAAGCCCATTCAAAAATGGGCAAAGGATATGAACAGATACTTTACAAAAGAAGACATACAGGAGGCCAACAAACATATGAAAAAATGCTCATCATCACTGGTCATCAGAGAAATGCAAATCAAAACCACATTGAGATACCATCTCACACCAGTTAGAATGGCGATCATTAAAAAATCGGGAAACAACAGATGCTGGAGAGGATGTGGAGAAATAGGAACACTTTTACACTGTTGGTGGGAATGTAAATTAATTCAACCATTGTGGAAGACAGTGTGGCGATTCCTCAAGGACTTAAAAATAGAAATCCCATTTGACCCAGCAATCCCATTACTGGGTATATATCCAAAGGATTATAAATCATTCTACTACAAGGACACGTGCACACGAATGTTCATTGCAGCACTGTTTACAATAGCAAAGACCTGGAACCAACCCAAATGCCCAACGATGATAGGGAAATGTGGTACATATACACCATGGAATATTATGCAGCCATCAAAAACGATGAGTTCACGTCCTTTATAGGGACATGGATGAACCTGGAAACCATCATTCTCAGCAAACTGACACAAGAGCAGAAAATCAAACACCGTATATTCTCGCTCATAGGCGGGTGTTGAACAATGAGAACACATGGACACAGGGAGGGGAGCACTACACACTGGGGTCTGTTGGGGGGAAATGGGGGAGGGGCGGGGGGTGGGGAGGTGGGAAGAGATAGCATGGGGAGAAATGACAGATACAGGTGAGGGGACGGAAGGCAGCAAAGCACACTGCCATGTGTGTACCTATGCAACAATCTTGCATGTTCATCACATGTACCCCAAAACCTAAAATGCAATAAAAAAAAAAAAGAAAAAAAAAAAAAAAAAGAATATATTTATCTTGTGAAAAAAAAAAAAATATTATATAATAAAGTATGTCAACATTTGAAATATCTATGTCACCCGATGAACCAGTATTTTCCAAATCACCAATGCACGCTATAACAACTAAATCATTCATGGGTAAAAGCGCCATCAACAGTGCAATGTATTTTAATGTAATAGAATATACAAGTTCACTGATACGGTTTCAGATTCCATATTGCAATTAATTAAACTTTAATAAACTATACTTTGGCAAGTTTTGATGTCGTATTAAGAACATCCACAATTATCTGAAAAGTCTAAAATATTCCTTTTCCAATTGTGTATTTATGAGAAGCCAGTTTTCTTCATATACTTCAACTCAAACATCTCACAACAAACTCAATACAGAATCAAACAGGAAAAAAAACTACTGATTTCAACTAAAGAAATCTACAGAAATGTAAAGCAATGCCACTCTTCTCACTAAATGTATTTTGTCTGTAAAGTAGTTATTTTTAATGTTTATGTTAACATATAATGAGTTTGTGTTATTTTTAAAATAAATTACTGCCCTATCTCTACCTAAAAAAATAAAAAATAAATCAATGAATACTGTAAACATTCTCAGTTTTAATTTCTAATGTGGTAAATATCAATAAATATAATCCATCTAAACAAAACCTCTTCAAGATCCTCATTAATTTTTAAGCATATAAAGGAGTCCAGAGACTGGAACAGCAGATCAAGGAACAGAACTTGTTAACAGTCAAGGTTCATCTCCTTTTGCCCTATAGACTAAAATTGTGTTTTATGTAGTAACGTTAAAGCTTTACAGAGAAATTACTACAAAGTGTGCTTGTGGAAAAGGTGTTGTTACAACAGTGTAAAATTAATATTCTCCCCTAGAGCACTTTGTGCTCTGTCCCCATGAATAGGCTAAAAGATACCTTCCTAGTTTGGAACTAATTTTTTGTTCCAGTTGTCTTTTCTTCGTTTTTCTCTCAAGAAGCTCCTTCTTCTTTTGTCTAAGTTCATTGTCTTTGTGCTCCAGGTGTTTGCTAGTTTCACGTAAGGCAATCAACCCTGATTCCACTGCTTGCAATTTTCTATTAATTTCCTACAAAATAATTCAAAATTGTTAACATATTTAAAAAAACTGTTCCAGTGAAAGTATTAGAAATCCAGTCAATACTCTTTTCTAACATTCAGATCAAATTAACCAACCTTTAGCTGTTCTTCTAAGTGTCTTCTTTGCTCTAGGTCCACAGTGACTGTGAGAAACTGGGCTACTTTTAGAGATGTGTTACTAGAAATAACTTTGTTTGAATAAAAAGAAGTTTTCACCACATACTTCTCTTCTGCTGTATAAATTTGTTTTAATCGGGTTTCTTGTATTACCTAAAATGTAAAATGTAAAACAAGTATTAGTGCACCTTTAATATTAATAAATTTTTAAAGTACTAAATAATTAGAAATGTAGACCAAGTGAACTTTGGAAGATCAAAATATACTAGATACACATTTTTATTTTTATTTTTGAGACAGGGTCTTGCTCTGTCACCCAGGCTGGAATGCAGTGGCATGATCTCAGCTTACTCTACCCTCAACCTCCCAGGCTCAAGTGATCCTCCCACTTCAGCCTCCTGAGTAGCTGGGACTACAGGCACGTGCCACCAGGCCTGGCTAATTAAAAAAAAATTTTGCAGAGATGGGGTTTTTCCATGCTTCCTATGGGGGCTGGTCTCGAATTCCTGCCTCTGAGATTCTCCCACTAAGGCTTTCCAAAATGCCAGGATTATAGGTGTGAGCCACTGTGTCCAGCAAATTTTTTTTAACCTATCCAACAAAATTTCCGAACAGGTGGCTCGTACAACTAGCTAAGTCAGCTATACTTCTATGCTACAACTCTCCCAAGTAGTTTTGGAGCCTTGTTACATCTAAAGAAGAGATACCAGGAGCAAGAGATACCAGGAGAGAAGGGTGCTCAGTACACTGAACTGTTATCTTGGGTAAGTCATTTACTCTCCCCTCCTCTCAGTTATACTGTTCAAAGATATATAATCTTATATTTAGTTCCTGTGTATTTGGGAAGAATAACCAAGTGAAACATTTTTTCGTAGATTTCAAAGCCTTTTCTTCATTTTTTTTAGAACTTGTCTCTCAAGAATTTATACACAAATTTCATAAACTAAAATATATTATAAATACCATAACCGGACCATTCTTTGATCTATTTTTGTATATTTATAGAGTAGGCTGCTGCAATGCAGAGCATTTTTAGATTAAAGATTTTAGATTTAGAGATTTGTTTCCAATCTCTAAAAACCTTTAGATACTATTATAATACTATTGTGGTTTGTTTCCTTTCAGAAGTTTATAGTCTAAGTGAAGAGGTAAGACATATTTAAGCACACTAGGTCAACAGGATATAAATCTTAAATCCTGACTAATCTGAAATAAGGGGAAAAACTGGATGACTTTAGCCTACTCAAGTTTCCTAAAAATGAGTTTTAAACTGGAGTTGAAATTACAGAGTTAGTGAAGGAAGGACACTTCCCACAAAAGTGACATCTCAAGCTAAAGAAGTCAGCAGACAATTTAACCAAAGGGAGACTCAGAAATTAATGAGAGAACAATTCCGTACATAGGGTATACTGTTAGAGAATCTAAGATGTTAAAACTTAATAATAAAAGCAAAACCTACATAAAGAATGCATTTTTATTCTGAGAAAGAGATACAGCCAATATTGCCGTTATCTAGCCATTACTGCCTTAAACAGAAGGACTGACGACATAAAGGTAGCAAATTTCCTCAATAAAGGTTTGTATCTTCTGAAAGATAGCTAAGATAATATCAAGGGCTTTACCAGGTGTTTGAAATACTTTATAATTTGGTTATCCTGCATATACATGTCTGAAAAGCATAGAATCAAATTATTTATATACAACACAGAACTGAGTTAGGCACTGGGACGACAAAGTATCTGATGTGTTTGAGAATTTAAAAAATGCAGCATATAAAACCAAAGAGATTAAGATTAGTGAAAACACCTGAAAAAGAAATGGGGATAATTAATTTCGCTTTTAATATCAATTATATGAATTCCAAAGCTATTTCTCTAGTACAAACAGCAGTGCCAAAGCTCCCTAAGTGACTTAAACATGTCAACAGTAAAAGTACATGGAAACAACTCAATTTGAAGCAATGTTCAAAAAGGAAAAGAAATTTCCAAGTAAAGAAATTGCTCCTTTCTGCCCCAAAGTTAAGTTTAAAAGTCCTTATCAACTTTTCTATTGTCTTTCTGCATTAGTAAAGAAGTCCCACTTACCTTACTTTCAGAGATAGGCCTGCCTACCCCTCCTCCACATGGAGAGGTCTACTTTTGGTTTTCGCAAATGAGTACCATAATAAGGTATAATTCCAATCAAAGGCAGGCAACTTATTATAAGTAACCTGTTTTTGCAAAACGGGTTGATAATGAGCTCTCAATTTTCTACTTTCTGTTACTGAAGTATAGAGCAGCCCCAAATGAATCATCTTAGGAATATTTATATACTGGTTGTTAGAAATTTAAAACATATTTTCTAATAAATTCAATGTTATAAGTAGCAGTTAGGTCTGTAATTAGTTACCAGATGTTTATAAGCAGTATTAATACAGAAATGTGGTATTTATACTGGAAAAACCTGTTCCAGGAGAGATTTCTTTTTTTTTTTTTTTTTTTTTTTTTTTGAGACGGAGTTTCGCTCTTGTTACCCAGGCTGGAGTGCAATGGCGCGATCTCGGCTCACCGCAACCTCTGCCTCCTGGGCTCAGGACAATTCTCCTGCCTCAGCCTCCTAAGTAGCTGGGATTACAGGCACGCACCACCATGCCCAGCTAACTTTTTGTATTTTTAGTAGAGACGGGGTTTCACCTTGTTGACCAGGATGGTCTCGATCTCTCGACCTCGTGATCCACCCGCCTCGGCCTCCCAAAGTGCTGGGATTACAGGCTTGAGCCACCGCGCCCGGCCTGAGAGATTTCTTTTCTGTTTCTGCCTGTGATAAAAGTGCATATGATTTGGAGTCATGAAAATTGCTTGTAAGAATAAAATTCCAAAGAGCGTTAGCAGAACAGGGAAACTAGGAGTTTCTGTGCCTGTATGTACTAGCCAAAAAAATCCTATGATGAGTGGTCATTCATAGGTGAGATAATCTTAAGTGCAAGTTTTAAGTAAAGGACAGTTGACAAAAAACAGTTTTATACCCCAGCCTAGCATTCTAAAGTACAATTTGTCTTAAAGATAATCTCACATATAATAATTTAAAAGACGAAACTATTATTAATACAATGTTTGAACATAGGCTTACCAAGTAAAGCAGAATTAGGTTAGGTTACCAAGTATTTCTTTTCAGGTTTTAACTTTACTAAATTACCTTAAATGTAATTATTATTTATTCTAGTTAATTCCACATCACTCCTCTCATAATGTATTAGTTAACAGTTACTGTTTTATGTCATATGGAAAATAAATACAAAGTTTCTCCATCGTTGAAAACAACAGACTTACTTAAATTCGGACACATTTTGCTTGCCTTAGCTAAGTTTTAACAAAACTGCATTTTTGGTACATGATTCAGTACATGATTCACTACTTACCCGTTCAATTCTTTCTCTGGTCTTTTCAGTTCCTACAGGAACTTCATGAATATGATACTGACAGCAAAGGTAACTCATTACAGGATCAGGTGCATCAAATAACTCTCTCAAATAAGAAAAAAATCCGTATTGTCTGAAAGGAAAAGTATTGATTAGATTTCCTTCTGAAAATATTGCTAAAAAAATCAGAGTTTATAAGTCATCAGTAAACAGTAAGTAAAACATACATTATTTCATCAATGACACAGCAACATTTTTTATTTTAAAATCACTTATGACTTACTCACTTGCCACAAAAGTTTAAGCTTTTTTATGATTACAAACTACTTTTTAAATTTCATCTATTATGTTTCGAATGTTTAGTTATATTCTGAATTAAGATATTTACTTATAATTACTTTATAGTGACAATTTTTACATTTAATCCTTCTGGAAATTATTTTCATATTATAAGTGATAGTTTATCATTTCATTTTCCCAATAACTAACCAACTAGTATCTTTTTTTTGTAAAAACTGTAAGACAAGGCATTAATAGTATCTTTTATTAAATAGTGCAATATTGTTCTACAGATTTGAAACATCATACCACATCACACTCACTGTATGCTAACTGTATCATAGTCCTGTGCCTAAATTTTTCCTAACATTTGACTTAAGTAGAGATCCTACAAGGAATACAGCTTGTAACAGCTTATTTATGCGACAATAAATGTTAATTCAATATTTAAATAAGTCAATATTTTCAAGACTTACTTAAGTTCATTCAAAGATCTTGACGGTGCTCTGTCTGCATATGAACTCTTGGGAGCAATAACAGCATTTACTCTTAATTTTTTATTGTCACGAACCTGAATATAGGGAAAAGAAAATATTATTTTAATTACCATATATTCTCTTTTAATTTATATATATATATATAAAGAGAATATATGGTCATTAAATATATTTTAATTACCATATATTTACAAAGTTACCATATTCCTACTGGCATTCATGGGATGGATAAAAAATTTGAACACTGCATATTAGATGTTACTTAGAATAAATTTTTTTACTGTGATATTAAAAACAGTCCACTTCTTATATAGATACATATCAAAATATTTTCAGGTGAAACAGACTATCTGGGAATTACTTCAAAATAATACAGAAGGGAGATAGTTATGCTTACTTTATTTGGCAGATTATCTTGTATTGAACTAACTTTTCTACTAACAGTGATTATAAACTCTGGCCAAAATTTTAGAAACAATTATTTTAAGGCACTGGAGATGGACAAAAGGAAGGAGCTGGAAGGGAGTTGACATCTGAAAGCTAAGAATAGCAGTAGGTGAGATTTTTGTTTATGTGGCTTGTGGCTTGGGGACATTCTCCAATTTGGAATATCAGAAGTGGAGACAGAATTCTGGTAGAAAGCTGCAGTCTTTGTGGCTGGAGAAATCATAAGATGGAAGGATGGAGTTTGGGGTGACTAGAATTACTGTAAACTGAGAGGGTAAATTCTTGGAAGAAGGAGACTGCAAAGTGAGAAGCCTCAAAATCTGCATAAAACACCCATCTAAATCCTTGGCTGCCCCACAAACTATGAATGCATGGGAAATTTCCAGGGAAATGGAGGAAAGCAGCAAGTGGAAGGCTAAAACAACAACAACAACAAAAACCCACTGAATGGAGACTTCAGTTGCTGTCCATTGCTCGAGAGACAGAGTTGCAGTTTAAGTTCAGCTAAGTTAACTGCCTTCTTCTAGTCTCTTTGGAAGACAACTGAATCCAGTCTCTACAGTATTACCCAGAATTCCAGAAGATAATAAAAAATTACTGGCTGGGTGTGATGGCTCATGCCTGTAATCCCAGCACTTTGGGAGACCGAGGTGGGGAGATCACCTGAGGTCAGGAGATCGAGACCAGACTGGCCAACATGGCAAAACCCTGTCTCTACTAAAAACACACAAAAAATTAGCTAGCTAGGTGTGGTGGTGGGTGCCTATAATCCCAGCTACTTGAGAGGCTGAGGCAGGAGATCACTTGAACCTAGGAGGCGGAGGTTACAATGAGTCGAGATTGTGCCACTGCACTCCAGCCTGGGTGATAAGAGTGAAATTCCATCTCAAAAAAAAAAAAAGATTTTAATTGCTTAATTAATTGCTTTAATCACAACACACTAACCCACAAGCTGAACAAGTCATCCAATGTCCACTTCCACAAGCCGACTTCAGGTCTTTTCAAAATAAAGCATCATACTTACTGTATTTATATATTACTTAACAATTTAACATGTAAAACCATGACATCATTTTTCATAGGTTTATCTTTCTGTGTGTGTGACTGATGAAATTGTTTTCTTTTGTTTGTTTTTTTAAGAGAGAGTCTCACTCTCTTGCCCAGGGTGAAATGCAGTGGCACGATTTCAGCTCACTGAAACTTCCATCTCCTGGGTTCAAGTGATTCTCATGCCTCAGGCCTCCGAGTAGCTGGGATTACAGGTGTGTGCCACCACGCCTGGCTAATTTTTGTATTTTTAGTAAAGATGGGGTTTCACCATGTTGGCCAGGCTGGTCTCGAACTCCAGGCCTCAAGTGATCCACTTCCCTAGGCCTCCCAAAGTGTTGTAATTACAGGCATTAACCAACATGCCCAGCCGAAAATTTTGTTTATTGTACTTTACCCTCATTTTCTTCTAAGTCTTGTGTGTTTTTATTGCACATATTTGCACAACACAGTGATTTTTAAGAATGCCTATGTTGTCTTATAGCAGAACTTACTTTGCAATGGAGAAACAATAGGCAAATAGGACTAAATGTAGATAATCAGTGACTCTGGGACATAGGATACAGAAGTTTCATGTATTACTCTTAAAACTTTTCTGTTAGTTTGAAACAGTATCAAAATAAGTTAAGAAAAAAATAGAGTGGTGGTATAGATGAAACAATATTGGCCATTAATCAATATATCACTCATATTAGTATATGGGGTACATTAAGTTATTAAAATTTATTGTTTGAAATAAAACAATTACATAGTGAGACAGTAATTTTCTCTTCAATTCCTTTTCAGTATTTCAAATTATACCAAGGAGAGAAGTTGCAGTATGAGGTTAGCATGTCCTCAACTCGTTATCTTTTTTTTACTGTTACCTGCTTTCAGTAAGCAATGATAAAGAATTTACTAACACTGCTTTTGTTGTCTTATTGTTATGTATATTATTTCTTTTCTTTCTTTTTTTTTTTTTTTGAGATGGAGTCTCGCTCTGTCCCCCAGGCTGCAGTGTAGTGGCACAATCTCGGTTCATGCCAGCCTCCACCTCCCAGGTTCAAGTAATTCTTTCCTGCCTCAGCCTCCCAAGTGGGTGGGACTACAGGTGCACACCTCACCTGGTTAGTTTTTGTATTTTTTTGTATTCATAGCAGAGATGGGGTTTTGTCACGTTGGCCAGGCTGGTCTCAAACTCCTGATCTCAAGTGATCCACCCACCTCAGCCACCCAAAGTGCTGGGATTAGAGGCATGAGCTACTGTACCTGGCCTATTACTCGTTTTCTAACTTTGTAATAATGTATTTCCTTTCAGAAGATTTTGTTTGAGTAACAAAAAGTTAGGTGACTGAAAGAGAAACAAGAAATAATACCACAGGTAGTACTCAGATTTGGCAAAAATTATGATGGTTGCACATGATAGTACGCAGAAATGGCAAAAATTGTGAAGATGATTTGTGAGTTACTGAAGGATGGGAAATGGTATTCTAATAGATATTACAGGAAAAGGTTATATAGAATAAATCTTAAAGCTTAAAATATACACACAAAAAGTCATAGATAAGAAAGTTCTGGTTCTATCTGATGAGCAGTTATGGAAAGTTGTTACAACACAAGAAAAAAAAATACAGGTCAAATTATTAGGAATCTATTTTGTATCATCAACATATGGTTTAAATCCTCAGTGCAGAGGCGCAGTGAGTTTCCGACACAAGGAAAAGTACTCCGTACAGGCTAGGCTGGCCATTTGCTAAATAGAAATCATTTAATTACACCTGGCTGCATGCCCTTTACCCCACATATCATGTCTTAAAGACATGTAACCCAAGCAAAGCAACTGAGCTCTGACATCAGATGGATGAATCACTGGTTAGGCTTAAATAGCTCTAACATACACAAATTTTTAACTTTCTGGGTCCATTTTATAATTTTATATATCCAACCTTTTTATCCAGTCACCTTTATGTTCATATACCTTGCCAACTCCCAAACCAGAAGTAGGGCAATATAAGAGCCAAAGCAAGTTAAGAATCCTTCCAGGCCGGGCGCGGTGGCTCAAGCCTGTAATCCCAGCACTTTGGGAGGCTGAGGCGGGTGGATCACGAGGTCAAGAGATCGAAACCATCCTGGTCAACATGGTGAAACCCCGTTTCTACTAAAAATACAAAAAATCAGCTGGGCATGGTGGTGCGTGCCTGTAATCCCAGCTACTCAGGAGGCTGAGGCAGGAGAATTGCCTGAACCCAGGAGGCGGAGGTTGCAGTGAGCCGAGATCGTGCCATTGCACTCCAGCCTGGGTAACAAGAGCGAAACTCCGTCTCAAAAAAAAAAAAAAAAAAAAAAAAAGAATCCTTCCAAGTACTTGTGCACCAGAGAAACAGAGGACCACTTGAGCTGATTCAGAATCCTCTCCTCACTTAGACCAATTAACAAAGTTGTTTAAATAAGGCATACACAAAACAAATCTAAACGTAACCTTTATAAGCTTTTTAAAGAAACAGAAGACATATGCAAAAGGAGTAAGAAGTCTTACAGACAATACAACATATAGCTAACCATATATTTAAGAATATCATATATAGCTAACAATATTATACTACATGTTATGTAGGTATATAACAATAATAATAGCTAATAAGCACTGTTATAAGCACCTTTACATTTATTAACTGACTTAATCCTTATAACCATCTTTTGAAGTAGATAATGCTACCCTCCATTTTATAGACAAAAAACACTTAGGCAACTTGCCCAAGTTAGAAATAAAGCCAGATTTCAAATCCTGGTAGCCCAGCTACAAAGTATACATTCTTAACTACTAAGTCATATTGTCTTTCAGTGGTTAGATTCTTGGACACTGGCTTTTCTCTGGCTAAATACAGGGTTCTCATTCTTTTTAAAGAATTTTTATTTGTATTAATAAGCAACATCGTACTGATTTTCCTTTCAAGGGAAAACTGAGTTCATTCCAATACATTTTCAAAATAAGGATGTCCAAGACCAAAGGTCCATCATTGTTTTTTTTTTTCCTTAAAACATGATAGAATTACTCTTCATATTAATTTCAAATGATAATTTCAAAATATGTTCCAAATGGAATATTATGGGCTGGTTTACTTTAACCAAGTAAGTAAATTGCCCCACAATGCCATAAATAGGAAATAAATGAACAAAACTGAGTGACTTTGCATGAGAGTGAACTGGCAGTAAAATTAGCTATCATTTTTTGCTCTCGTGAAGTTAAAACTTCAAGCACTAAAAGATAAGTGATAAGTAAATCAAAGCGTTACATTGTTTAGTACTTGCCTCTTTGAGGAAAACCTCCATATCTTCTTGACTTTCAAATACAAAGGCTCTCAAGTCATTTGATGGAATATGATTTTCAATATATTTGGCATTTTTATTATCTTTCATATTGATCTAAACAAACAAAAGCAGAATTTCATGAAACCCAACTGATTATTAAAACATGTTTATATTAAAATTGGATTTATTTAATTAGATTGTAATACTTGAGAAAAGGGAAGAACAACCTGGAATCAGAGTTACTTTAAAACATCTAATCCATTACCCAGAAACAACCAATACAGTACATAGTTTAAAAAAAAAGCTAAGATTTGAACAGTACTTGATGCGTACTGATTTTTATACTACCCTAAGAAATAACTTTAGTTCCTTTCTAGTCAATTCATTGAAAATATTTCAGTCTCAGATTGTGACTTGAGTATAAACATTTCTTATCTTTCCCTCAACTTTTCATATTTTTCTTAATCTTCCAGAGAATTTCATAGATGGAATAACTGATAGGTACCAAAACACAAAGAAGTGAATAAAACTTTAAAAACTAATGGAAAAAACCCACTATGGCTTAATTTCGCCTTCAAGAGAAATCTGAAGTTTGCATCAGCAGAACATAATCTTATTGATCTATTTTACTTAATTTTTTTATTTTTTATATTTTGAGACAGAGACTCTGTCACTGAGGCTGGAGTACAATGGCACGATCTCAGCTCACTGCAACCTCTGCCTCCTGGGTTCAAGCAATTCTCACGCCTCAGCCTCCCAAGTAGCTGCAACTACAGGCATCTGTCATCACACCCAGCTAATTTTCATATTTTTAGTAGAGACAGGGTTTCATCACGTTGGCCAGGCTGGTCTCGAACTCCTAACATCCAACGATCCACACACCATGGCCTCCCAAAGTGCCAGGATTACAGGTGTGAGCCACTGTTCCCAACTATTGATCTATTTTAAAAAAAAAACATTAACTGGGCCCAGCATGGTAGCACTGATAACCCCAACACTTTGGGAGGCCAAGACAGGACGGTAACGCTTGAAACCAGAAGTTCGAGAGCAGCCCGGGAAACAAAGTGTGACCCTGTCGCTACAAAAAACAAAAATAAAAAAAATTAGCCAGGTGTGATGGTGCTACTCAGGGAGATTGAGGTGGGAAGATTGCTTAAGCCCAGGAGTTTCAGGCTACAGTATGCTATGATTGTGACACTGCACTCCATCCTGGGTGACAAAGTGAAATTGTCTCTAAAAAGTAAGATAAAGTAAAAATATGAATTAGACAATCCTGCATGTGAGGCTCAACGTTATGGAAAATACTAAGATAGGTTAGGGAAAAAGCTACTTCAGGAAGTGTATAATCTATTATTTATTGTACATGAATAAGTATGTTCAAAGCAGAGCATGATAAAACTCCCACTAACAAAAGTGTATAAATATAAAAAGTACTATCTATGGAATTTTAGAGGAGAGACTGATAATTTCCAAAACATGGGAATCAGTTTTCTTGAAAAAATAATGAAAGGAGAGGTATTTATGTACTATAATCTATTACAAAGCAAACTAGCTAAGAGCTAGGGCTCTGAAGTCAGACAGATGTCCTTTCAAATCATATGCTTGATCTTGCTCATATACTACTTAAATCTCAGAAAGTTTTCATTACTTTAATCTGTAAGACAGAGTAAAACAGTTTATACCTCATAGAACTAAATGTGCATTAAGAGACAATACAATTAAAATAGCATAGTTCTTGTTACATAAATGTTGGCCAATATTCCTCTCTATTTTAAATTATAGAATATCAATCGGTATAGAAAAATGAGGAAACAGATACACACACACAAAAATTAAAACTACATGAAACCATCATCCAGGTATAAACACTATAAACACTGAGTCTAATGTTTCACAATTTTTTGGGGGTAGGGGGACAGATACTAAATTACATTATTGGAAGAAATGATAGGAATAAAAGAAAATGTATGTGGATATTTACTATAACTTACAGAAAAGGTAAAAGTAACCCCAAAATTACCACAGAAAGTCATCATTTAAAAAAATATATAGTTATATATAAGCCAGTCAAGGACTTAGCTCTCATGATCACATTCTCCCAGGGTGGTTTTTTGTTTGTTTTTTTTGAGACAGGTCTCACTCTGTGTTGCCCAGGCTGAGTGCAGTGGTGTTATCATGGTTCACTGCAGCCTCAACCTCCCAGGCTCAAGCAATCCTCTCACGTCAGCATCCTGAGTTGCTAGGACTACAGGTGCATGCCACCATGACCAGCTAATTAATTTTTTTTTTTTTTTTTTTTTTGGTAGAAACAGGATTTCACTATGTTGCCTAGGCTGGTATCAAACCCCTGGACTCAAGTGATCCTCCTGCCTCGGCCTCCCAAAGTGTTGGAATTATAGACATAAGCCACCACTCCTGGCCCCAAGGTGTTTATATCAGAAATACTCTGCCATGTCAGATTCCAAGGCTCCCAGCTTATATAAACGGGTTTACATGGCATTTCAATTATTTTATGGACTTCACCTGCTCAACAGGTAATGAGTCTCAAGGAAGTCACACAAGTAGGGGTCATTTTGGTCACTGGCCAGTTTCTGTGGTTCCAGTAGTGACTTATTTACATTTTTTTCCAAGTGTAACACACACTCTATTGCATTCACAGTTTGGAGGTTTCCCTAATATCCTTAGGGAAGATTTGTTTATTTCCTTATTTATTTTTTTTAAGATGGAATCTCGTTCTATTATCCAAACTGGAGTGCAGTGGCATGATCTCAGATCACTGCAGCCTCCACCTCCCAGTTCAAGCAATTCCCCTGCCTCAGCCTCCCAAGTAGCTGGGACTTCAGGTACATGCCACCATGCACAGCTAATTTTTATATTTTAAATGATATGAGGTTTCACCATGTTATTACCAAAGAATGTTAATTTTTTACTCTTTCATCCTTTTATGCAGCCAAACTTACTATTTTAAATAGTTTAAATGGCAATCATCCTAGTAAATCCATGGCTACACTTCACTAGATGATTTACTGAATACAGCTTCACCTATTCTTGATGACCTGCAATCAATAAAAGCTATCAAATATTTTATGATGTCAATAAAGTATTGTTTTCATTTTCAAAATCCTCAGAATGCCCTTTCTTTGTAGCAGGTGATTTTCTTGCCTATCCTCTTAGATTTGCTCCTTTAATTAACATATTCACAGCAGTTTTCTACCTCTTCAGCAGGTTTTAATCGAATGCCTGTTATAATCTAGTAACACGTGCCAAAAGAAACCAGCTAACCAAACTAATTTTCTACATGATTCTAAGTCAGTAAGTTGCCATTTTATACCTCTTTCTAGAAAAAAAAAAAAAACCCAGGTTTTATGACAGTTATCACCCTCATTGATTAGGGGACCTTTAAAAAGCTCATGTATGGATTCAGCAGTATGCCAGATCCAGCAAGTCTGATAATGTAAATCCAGGGTATTACTGGGACTAAAAAGTCTTAAAACAAAAATCTATAATGATTACAATAATAAAACAAATACTACTAACATGAACAGTTTCTTACCGTGAGCATTATGGGTTCACAGACTCTTTGTTTAAATTTGTCTCTGTTATTTCTTAGCCATAAAACGGCATCATATGTGTCACGAAATCTCTGTCTTAACTTATCTTCCTTCTGATTCATAAGATTGTCAAAACGTACAATATGATCGTCCACACCTAAAATTGGAAAAGAAAACAAAGTCTTATTTCTCTGAAAATTTTAAATAGTGAAATAAACTAATAATAATACAAAAGAATACCCTAGATCTAAAGGTTACAAACACTACTCAGCAAGTACTCCACATAATGGAAAAGATGTGACCTGAATAAATCATTCTAAAATGTCCAAACACCTGGGAAAAATATGATCCTGAAACTATCCAACAGGTAACCTACCAAAAAAAAAAAAACCCCTAAGAAAAACACTAGATTTCTTATCAGAAGACAAATGGCAATACGCCTTCAAAATTCTGGGAGAAAAATTAGTATTTTCGTCCTAGAATTGCATATACAACAAAACTAAAAAAAAGTGGGGGAGGATGAAATAAGGATATTTTCAAGGGTGCAAAGACTCTGAAATTAATTCCCAAATATCTCTTCTTGAGGTTACCTGAAAATGTACTCCAACAAAATAACGGCATGATGTAAGAAAATGAGACATGGAATTCGGGAATAGGTTTATAACATGGAAAGGGCATGACAGAAATTACAAATGGTAACCATGCAGGCCTCAAGAAGAACCAATTTAGATGGAAGGAGGACAGAATGCTATGCAATTCAAGAGAATGCCTGATAAGACAGCTTTTTTTTTCCTCTTCAATTTAAGGAAATGCTAAAGTAAATTTAAAAAATCAATGAAGAGAAATTTAATTATAACGCACTACTTGGTTCAGCTATAAGGAAGTTTAATAAACAATAAGTAGTATTTCTATACTTCTAGAATTAACCCATAAAAAGAGCACATAAAACGCAAATACAAATGTATTCAGCCTTGCAAAAATAAAAACCAGAGTATAAATGAGAAAATTTAGAATGTGAGAAGGGAGGAAAGTAACAAGCAAGGATGGGAGGAATACTAGTATTTAGAGCTTACTAAGTGTAGAGTCAAGCAATACTGACAAATTGTTAAATGACCAAAAAAAGATATGTATCTTATTTATAATAATAAAAATCAATATTAATCTTATTTGAAGAATTATAATAGGGATGTCTAAGGTAAAATCTACATCTAGAGTAAATATGAAAAGATAATGTTCAAGCAACAGTGAAATAAGAATATGATAAATATATATGAAAGACTACTAGAAAAATATCTGCTGAGAGGGCATGGTGGCTCACACCTCTAATCTCAGCACTTCGGAAGGCCGAGGAGGGCGAATCACCTGAGGTCAGGAGTTCGAGACCAGCCTGGCTAACATGGTGAAACCCCGTCTCTACTAAAAATAAAAAATTAGCCGAGTGTGGTGGCGCATGCCTATAATCTCAGCTACTCGAGAGGCTGAGGCAGGAGAATTGCTTGAACCCAGCTGAGGCGGAGGTTGCCGTGAGCTGAGATCACACCATTGCACTCCAGCCTGGGTAACAGAGCGAGACTTCATCTCAGGAAAAAGAAAAGAAAAGAAAAGAAAAATATCCACTAAAAGAGTATAAAGTGCTTATTCTTGATTGGCTCTGGGGGTTAAAAAAAAGGGGGGGGTTGTGCCACCCTTCTAGTTTTTTTTTTTTTTTTTTTTTGCCATACACATCTAGTACTTTGATAAACACATATTTTTTTTTTCTGATTTTAGTCATCTACAGTGAGCAGACAGAATATAAAATCCCTTTCCAAAAAATACTAAAGATCTATCCACATGGTCTACAAAAAAGAAAACCAAAGCTGAAATTGAACAGGTTTAAGGAACTCAGCTAACAGAAGGTTATGAAGGTTAGAATAAACAGCTTAAATTTGATATGAGTAATAATGAGTGACTTTGTAAAGAAAATAAAGCTAAGCATTTACAGAGAATTAAATCAACTGCTATAATCTGACAGAAGACAGTGGTCAGTTATCACGGCAAATTACAGTACACAATAGATGTGGGTAATTAGGGTATGAAATTGGAAGAACTGAGTTGAGCTTCCTCAACAAGGCAACTTGAACATTTTATAGAAACAATTACCATGGGAAGAAAGCAGCCCATCAATAGAAATATATGTCCATTTTATAAACATTTCATTCTAACTTTATGAAAACTTACTCTTTTTCTCCTTCTCTAGAGTTTCCCTCTCTCTTCGCTTATCAATTATCTCGCCTTCACATAATGCCTTTTCATCCTGAATCCGTCTCAGATCATTTGTAATGGCATCAATCTGGGGCTGAAGATTCTCGCAGTTTTCTGTGGACTTCAGTTCGTTTTGTAAATCCTCTATCATTTTGCGGGTATTACTTATTCTCCTCTGTCGGTCATGCTCTTCATTTTGCTTTACTGTTAAAGCCTGCTGAAGTTCTTCAATCTAATAAAACAAAAGCAGGTTAGTACTTGAGATTGTTTTTCTGCTGATAAGACTTTCACAGTAATCTAGTTTTTAAAATGCAAACAATCAAACTAACATAGGTGTTTTCTTCACTAAAAGGTGCCCTGTTAGTGAATTGGACTAGCACATTACTGGTTCTACCAGACTATCTGTATCTTTGTTTTACACATTCACTAATGTATCTCAAATACTTTAAGTGGTGCTCAGTATATAATTAACACTAATTAAATATTTCCTTAATAAACAAAATACTTAAAAAGCCAAACAGATTTCTAAGTATTTATAGGAAGGAAGACCAAAATTAAAACAGTCATGTGGCATATGTGATACAGTTTCCATAAATAATAAAGATTACAAGTCACCCTGTTACAGGTTGAATATCCCTAATCCAAAAATCACAAATCCAAAATTCTCCAAAATCTGAAAATTTTTTAGTGCTGACATGACACCACAAGTTACCCAGAACACATTATTTTTTCACTGTATTAGTTGTATGTCACTTTGTACTGCTAAGTATTTATGTGCAAGTATTTAAAAATGATTGTTTATGAATAGCATATAAATTCAGAGTCAGGAATGATGGTGATGTCATCAAACACAGATCATCCACATGGGTGGCTGAGATGTTGACACCTTTATTTCCTGACATTTAACATATACAAACTTCGGTTCATACACAAAATTATTAAAAACATCATTTAAAATTACCTTCAGACTATGTGTATAAGGTGTATATGAAACATAAATGAATTTTGTGTTTAGACTTGGGTCGTATTCTCAAGATATCTCATTATGTATATGCAAACATTCCAAACTGAAAATATCTGAGATCCAAACACTTTCGGTCCCAAGTATTTTGAATAAGAGATACTCAACCTGTAATTTGAAACAGAAATAGACTATTTTCTTCCAATGGAAATAGTTTCTACCAATACTTCAGATTAATATGGTGAGATTTTAATTATCAATCTATATGCTTAGATTTCTTGACTTATATTCAAGGTAAATTATGTTTTTAAAACCAGCTATTTGATGTCAGTGAAATTTTTATCAAAACCATGGTCTACCTAAGACAGAGTTAATATTTTAACTCACACACATATAAACAATATACACTTATATATCCAATTTATTTTTTCAATTAGAGTTTTGTATTAAAATAGATAAATTTAACACATCACATAGTATGTTTATTAGCTGGCTTTATTCCCACGTCAGATTTACTCCCTCTCCTTCCTCATTATAAAAGTTATAATGTATTCATTATGGAAAATACAGAGACTTATAACTAAAAAAATAACTTATAATCTTAATGTCCTTAAACTTTTACTTTTTTTTTTTGAGACAGAGTCTCGCTCTATAGCCCAGGTTGGAGTGCAGTGGTGCCATTTTGGTTCACTGCAATCTGGGTTCAAATGATTCTTGTGCCTCGGGCTCCCGAGTAGCTACCACAGGTGTATACCACCACGCCCGGCTAGTTTTTGTATTTTTAGTAGAGCTGGGTTTTCACCATATTGGCCAGGCTGGTCTCAAACTCCTGGCCTCAAGTGATCTGCCTGCCTCAGTAAACTATTACATTTTAATGCCTACCTATATCTCCTGTAGAATATATATTCTTTTTACTAAATGGCATCACTAAAAATACATTGAGAGCAGTTTCTCATTTTCCCTCATGTTCTGACAAAACGGGATTTTAACATCTTGTGTATCATGTCCTGTGATATGGATATCCCACATTTTATCCCATCTTCTGTTGAAATATGGGTACTGATTTTTTCTTTCTAAAAATTCAGCTTTGGCAGTAACAAAATGCACATATCCCCAAATCTTCTCTACTATAACCAAACATACAGAAGCAAGAGAAAATATATCTGAAAAAATTAAGATACGTGTCTGTCACCGAACATTAACAACGTTCAACGGGCATAAAAGAAAGTAGATAATAGGAAGTCCAAGGGATTCAGGAAAATAAATGGGCATATCACAGATGACAATATAGAATTAAGAATTGCTAAACACATGAGGATGTCCAAGTTCATGAAAAAGGGACAAGAAATTTAACAAACAGAACCTTTGCAATCCCAGCAAAAGAGAGACCACCAAACTACTGAAAATCACTGGCCTACCATATAAAGTTGTATCAAGAGGAGGTCTTTGTCTGATACTGACCTGAAGAACTGAAAAGCAGCCCTATGATCCCTTACCTTTCAGTTAAGTTTTCTGAACACTAACTCATTTGTCACCTTCATCCAAGAAATTACCATGACTAATCCCATTAGTCCTACCATGACTAATACCCATGTTTAGCTCAGGTAAAGTAGGTCTAAACCTCTTAGATCACCCACCTTCACTAGGATACTGTCCCCATACTGCTCTATATCTGCAATTTCTCTGAATGATCCCTCTTCTTGCTCTAGTGGAAACTTGGCTATTTCTAGAAGACACTTGTTCTCCCTAGATCCCTCTCAAGCGGTGACCTTTTCCTGACATAACCCATTATTTCAGGACACAGAGGTGAGGAGGGTGTCCTCATTAATTGCCACTGTACTCCTTCCTCCTTTAATTGAGTCCCACTTTGGTTCCTCTATAGACTATGGGATCAGGCTTTGTCACCCATTACCCTTGTTGCTATGTTAACCAGCTCGCTGAAAATCCTCCCCAACCTCATCCATTCAGGGATGACTTTGGCACCTGATTAATTGTCTTCCTTTCTCCATCATTAGGCCTGTCATCATGTGACTTCAACATATCTATGGAAAATCAATGTAACTCTTTGGCCTCTGTGTTCCCTTACTTCAACTTCAATCATCTTTTCCTTAACCTTTCCTCAGCCATCTGCCTACTGAACAGAAAAAGGGGGCTGAGGAGGGTTATGTTATAGATCATAAAGCTCCCCAAATCATACCACTTCTGAAAAACGTTATTTCTATAATTCTGGTCACCATTTCCTTTTCTTCCATTTTACTTATTCTGGTATTCCTACTCTAATTATCCTCTGACCCCACCAGGCTGTGCAATCCACTAACCCCACTAACCTTTTCACAATCCCTTCCTTTCTTTCCTTAATCAGCTGGGATTCAACAATGCAGCACTATAACCACTCCCTTGCTAAGATCCCTTGACCTTCCTTCTTATGTCACACTGGCCAGGAAAAACCCCAGTTCTAATTAAACCTATCTACATACCTTGTAACTATCCGTATCTAAGCAACTGAACTAATGAAAGAAACCCTCAAAAACTGGTCTCACTTTAAATCTATGGCCACAAAACTTAAACAGGCACTCAAAACTACAACATAAACCTGTAACACTTTTTCAGTAAACCTGTGCTCTCTTTCTGAGACAAGTTCATACCTTTTGCTCCTTCTTCAATCCTTTATTGCTGCCTTCCCTCTACTTACTCAGCTAATGACCTTGCCTCATATTCCATTAACAGAAGTTATAATTAAGAGTACTCCCTCCTGCTATTGCTTTTAAATTTACCACTTTACCTACATCCTTACTCTGCTTTACCTTGTACGATGTAAGGGGAATGCCAGTAGCTACCCAAATCTCACTCCTCCGAGGCTACTACAGAGCAGTGTTTCTCAAATTACATCGTAAGGTGTAATTTCTCATAAAGGACCATTAAAAACAAAAATTCCAAGCCATCACAAGTCAACTTTTATTAATTACAATTAAACTACCCAAATTCTGGAAAACATGTTGGCAATTCCTTAAAAAGCTGAATGCACACCTATGATATTCTTCTCCTAGAAAATTATCCAAGAGAAATAAAAGCATACATCCATATAAAAAGTAGTAGAAAAACAGGCAGCTCTACTGGTAGTAGCCCAAAACTAGAAACAATCTAAATGTGTAATACCAAATTAGTGAATAAACAATTTGTGTGATCTCAAGAAAAATAAAAAGAAAAATACAATAAACTGAATGAAGATAAAAATACATCAAAATGTTTGGGGCACAGCTAATGCAGTGATGACAGGAAAATGTATAACACTAAGTGCATACGTAAGAAAAAAAGTATGTAATGAATAATCTATGCTTCCACCTCAAGAATCTATAAAAAAAAAATGAGCAAATCTACAACAAGCAGAAGAAAGAGAAAATAAAGATAAGAATGGACATCAAAGTAACTGGAAACAAAGAGAAAAATCAATAAAACAAACTGCTGCCTCTTTGGAAAAAATCAATAAAATTAGCAAACCTTTGGCAAGATTAACTAAAAAAAAGGAGGGAGGGATAAAAATTGCCAGTATCAGGAATGAAATACGGGTATCACTACAGATTCTATACATATCAAAGAATGAGAGAATTTATATATACATGAATTTGACAAGTTAGACAAGAGGACCAATTCCTCAAGAAACACAAGTATCACAATTCACCTAATATGAAACATATTTGACTAGTCCTATAGCTATTAATGAAGTTGAAGACATAATTTAAAAATTCCTCCAAAAAGAAATCTCTAAGCCCACAGAATTTCACTTGAGAATTACACAAAGTGTTCAAAGTATACAAACACCAATTCTGTACAATCTCTTTCAGAAAGCAGAAGAGGAAGGATCACTTCCCAATTCATTTTATGAAGCTAGTTATCCTAATACCAAAAGCAGGCAGAGAATACAAAAACACTATAAAACAGTATCACTCACGAACACAGACACAATAATCCTTTAACACAGAATTCAGCAATATGTAAAAAGAATTATACACTTAGACACCACAACCAAGTGGGGTTTATTTTAGGGATGCAAAACTGATTTGTTAGTCAAAAATCAGTCAATATAATCCGTCACTTATTAACAGCCATCAATAGAGAAAAGCATTTGACAAAACTGAGTATGTACTCATCATAAAAATTCTCAGAAACACAGGAATATGCATAAAAACTTTCTGAATCTGACAGAGCATATATATATTTTTAAAGCCTGCCATTATTACATACTGAATAACGAAAAACTGAATGCTTTCCTC